TTCTCAGTGCTGTGCTTTAACCCGCTGTGCCACCAGGGAGGGCCTGAACTTCTAATGTATATAGCACATGGATTTATCACAAAAACATGTTGAGGGAAGGAAATTAGATAAAAATGAGTACATGCTTAGTGATTATATTTTTATGAAATTCTAGAATTGGCAAAAAATAATCTATAATAGAAAACAAATCAGTGGCTGCCCTGGGGTAGCGGAATACAGGCTTTACTCTAAAGAAGTAACTGCGGTGATAGGAAGCTTGATCACAGTGGTCACTATATGGGAATATATTTTGTCAAAATTCAACAAGTTGTACACTTAACATGAGTATACATTTTACTGTATATAAATGATAACCACCACAAAGTTGGCTTTAAAAGAAATGCTTTGTGATCTTTCTAAGTAAGGTAAGGAACATGAATTACAGTTTGTGTAGGATAAGAGTTTAAGCATTTTGTTGAATTAATAGAAAAGAACTTTCGTAAACTTCCCTATTGTACATATATTTTCAAATTGAACAAAAAGTACTGTGAAAATTACTTTTCTATTTTTTTTTTCATGGAGGAATACTATGGTCAAGAGCGAAGAATATGTTAAGCATATATTTGTTACACCACTTGGCATCAAACTGAGATGTCAGGGAATACGTTTAAATACCATCCTTGATTTCATGGACTATAGCAGTGGAGGAACACAGAATTTATCTCTGGATAAGTTCCACAGATGCTTATTTAGTTATGAATGAAGGTAAAATGAATATATGAGAATATATATGAGAATAGTGTAGTGACTTGGCCTAATATGGTCACTGTGGTCTATTTTGCAGTGTTTATTAACTTGTCCTTTCAACTGCAAGATATGGCCTCACTTCTGTGGGGATTATTATAAGAGTTAAGATTTTTATTTCTAGCAGATTCTTTAAATGTCATCGCTAGAGTCTCATTTCTGTGTGTAGAAAATATAACATATTTCCCTTTTTTTTTTTTTCTTCCCAGGTGACAACTGTTGATAGGTTTCAAGGTCAACAGAATGATTATATTCTTCTTTCTCTAGTACGAACCAGGGCAGTGGGACATCTCAGGTATGTTAAGAAAAACTTCACTATTATTCAGTTCTACCATCTGCTTTAATTTGAATTTGGGTGACTGAGTGATTTTACTTTTTTATTTTGTATTATAATTAATTATGACAACTTTTGGTGCTTTTTGTTAGAATGCAGCATCATCTGATTACTTGTACAGTTAACCATTGCCTTTGCCTCCAAATATTTTGATTCTTAAATATTTGTTTTAGTAATTTCAGCTTTTTTACTCTTCAAAAATAATCAGAAATTAAAGGAACTAATGTTAAAAAGTCTATTCATAGTAACCTTTTCATTGCTTGGAATTTCTGACTTTCCCCTGCATAATCTTTCAGCATCCGTATGAGGATAATGGAAGCATTTGTTCCCCCCAAGATGAAGAATTGTCAAAACAATCCTTTTTTTTTTTCTTCAGTTACTGTGATGTATTTCTGTACTACAAATTTATAGAAATAATATCTTCTTATTACAAAGCAGTCTTTTTTTATATAGAAGCCTTTATCCTATGATATATATAGCAAAACTATAAGGGGAATTTATTTCACTACTTTGGTTGGTAAATATAAAAAAAAGTGTTCTCCAGTTTTCATAATGTTATGGTTAAATCAAGGTCTGCATGGAGCTTAGCCAGTGATCAGGTTACATGAGAACAATAAACAAAGATGTAATGGTTCAAAAAATTGTTTCAAGACTATTGCAACCTAAAATACAGATCATTTTTGCATATTTAAGTGTCAAGCATGTTATTTGGAGACTAACTTCTGAAAATATATTCCTTTCCACATTGAGAATTATAGCTGTTATCTGAATGGGTCGTCATGGTTTATATATTTAAAATTCATCAAAAACCCAAAATATGAAATCATAAATATACCTCGCCTCTTCCCTGCTCTTTACATTTTTGCCTGATGGCTTTTAGATTCATAGTGCTTGGTCATTCATTTCACAAATATTTTCTGGTGTTTGGCAATATGCTGGTATTTATAGTGGTAAATCTAACCTTCATGATTTCACCTTCATGGTACTTACGGAGGAGACATAAAACATTTCCTTGGAAGAGAGATATATTCCGTCTGCAAGAGACTAGCCTGACTCTCCTAATGTACAAGAAGATCAAGCTTAGAGCCACTCAGTAACCCATAGAAGTACTGAGTCATGGTCTCTAATAGCACTGTCTGCTGTACCTAAAATGAGAGCCTTCTGTATGTAAGGGGAAACTGAGCCTCAGTATACACAGATTACCAGAAAGCAATAGTTTAGGTCACCTCTTCCCACCAATGCCTCATTTCCCCCCAGCATTGTTCTAACCGTAATTTTCTTTATAATATTTGTATAAAAACTCATGCTAAGTATTTTTAGCAGTATACATCCAGTATTGGATTCACCCACCTATAATCTGAGCTCTTGAGGCTCTAAGGAAATGTGAGGAAAATAAAAGTTTGGCTTTCAGTAACCTAGAAGAGGATACTTCCTTCATGTGTCATGAATGTAGCAGGCCCACAAAATTACTGCAAAGAAGTGTGCTTGCTCATTTTACCTAGGAGTGGCTTCTACATCCTCCCCCCACACACACACACAAATGATCATAAGTAAATATTTCGTACTGACATCAGGTAGTACCTCCTGAAAAGAGAAACTAGACCCCATCAAGGCCATAAAACAACATACAAAGTAACTAAATTACATACCCCCCAGTCTCCCCCTATTATACAAAGATAAATATTCCAATTTCTGGTTCTCTGGCCATTTTATAATCTTTTTAACATTTGATCTCTGTAACACTCCCTTAACACTTTCAGGAGTTAAGAGTGATTGTATTAGACTTTATTATTAAAAGACTTCTCTTTTATGGAATACTTACAAATTTAAATGGCCATCAAAGATCATCTCAAGAAACAAATTTTCCTTTGTATTTAGAACCAAGGTATCTTTTTTCACTAAAATCCATTCAACTAGTAGATAAAATGTGACTACTATGGCTACTCTTATAAACCTATTTAATTCAAGTAAACAAGTCTAAATGATGATTTTAAAGCAGTCTTTTTGAAGTATAAAAGAAAACTGACATTATTATCAAATGTTCATCAAACAGTCACTACAAGTATAATTGGATCATTCAGTTTAACCATTTTTATTTTATGTGAACTTCTGGACCAGACTTTGAGCCTAAGTACCAGTGAATAAGACATATCATTCTATTTTTGTTTGTGTTTATGATTATTATTATAGATAAGTACAAACAGTGTAGTAGGAATTAGCTAAAAAGTAAAACTTGGCCTTGGCAAAGCTTGGGAATCTGGTAGATGAAAAAATGGAGGACTGGCTTAGATTGACTCAGTGTTGGTGTTTCTGTAAATTTGTGACTGACAGCTAACTGCACCCTAATTGCTAGTAGATCAACTTAGACCTTTTAAATTAGTGCAGTGGTTACTTTGATTTGTCCACCCCCAAAGTAAATCTAGGAATTAATAATAAAACTTTTACCTTCTTACTTCATTTACTGGTCATATAGCATATTAACTTACTGTTTATTCAAGTTTTAAGAGACTTGACTTCCTGTTGCACAACTTAACAGGAATATATAAATGGGATGTTTTCTAACAGATGTGTAGAAATATTAATCTTGAAGTACACTAATCAGTTTTATTTGTTTCTCAAAGGGACGTCCGTCGATTAGTGGTGGCCATGTCTAGAGCCAGACTTGGACTTTATATCTTCGCCAGAGTTTCCCTCTTCCAAAACTGTTTTGAACTAACTCCAGCTTTCAGCCAACTCACAGCCCGCCCACTTCATTTGCATATAATCCCAACAGAACCTTTTCCAACCAGTAGAAAGGTAGGATTTCTTTCTTCTTTGTACAGACTAGCATAGATGGCCACATTCCTCTAGGAAAATTATTACATAAATTGTCAGATCTCTGGTTCAGCGTGCTCCTTCTGATAGGGAAGGGAATTACATTTCCTCTATAAAATACAAATACCACCAAATACTTATTGAGTACTTAGCATGTATTCAGCAATTAGTTCTTTTTACATGTATCTCATTTCTTCTCGGTAATAGCTCTGTTTAGGCTGCTTTTTTATTAACCCCATTTTACATGTGAGGAAACTGACGATTATAAAGATTAAGTAATTGACCACATTATCTGGTAGATACAGAATCCAAGATTTGAAAATCCAGATAATTTGACTCCAATGTCCATGTGAATCTCTAATGTCTGCCTCTCTTCAGCTTTCTAAGGGGAATTTAATTCTTTGATAATAGAATAATAAATGGTTTAACTCAAGAAGCTTATGTTCTGGGGAAATGTTAATCTTTTCCTATCACCTTTTTTTTCCCCCAGTTCTATCTTCCTCCTCCCATAGGTCACCTGTTTAATTTCTGGTTTTTCCTCTTTATATTCCTTTGCACAAAGGAGCAGACACCTATTTTTGCTTTCTTTTTTAAATTTTGACAACATAATCTTAACATAAAACTTAAAACAACATAATATTCATGAAAATTTTCATCCAATGGCAATTATTTGTTTTCCTCTTTCCAATTATATTTTAACACATTAAACCAATGGCTACACAAATTTGAATGTTTGAGATCACACATCATGCTTTTAAGTTAGTATTTTGTAAACTTAGAGAGCAGATGTCTTTATATATACCTCTACACAATCCTGCACAGAAGGGATTTGGAGATGAGACTAGCAAGAAATATGTGCCTACCTATTCTTCCTCAGTCAAGGTGTCAGAGAACATATCTCTTGAACTATGTCTTAACAGATCATCAAGCAAAGATAATATAAACAGGGAACACAATGATTCTCAGTGGGGGAGGAGGGTGTTCCCCCAGGGAAGTGTTTTCATGCTTGTAGACATTTTTGTGTGTCATAACTGGGAGGGTGCCACTGGCATATAGGAGCAGAGAGCAGGATGCAGTTAAACATTTTACAGTGCACCAGACATCCTCACAACCAGGAGTTACCTGGGCCAAGATGTCACTAGTGTCAGTAATAATTTTTTTCTTTTATTGTTTTCCTTCTTACATGAAAGTTTGCATGCTTTCTGCAAACTTTGGGCTCCATGTTTTTCATTTAGAGTAATAATGCTAAGTAGATTTTAAAGATTTATTTTTATTTGCTTAATGCATGTAAGAACTGAGGTGTAGGCCAGAGGTACAGGGGTAAGAGACATTGTGGGGAGCAGAATAAGCAGATCTGCTGAAATACACTGTTGAGGGGAGCAGTGGGTGAGAGAGGTCTGCTGTGCCATGTTGGTCACCTTCCTGGCTGAGGATCGAACTCATGTTGCAGTGGCTGCCGATAACTTCATAGTGTTGAGACTTAACCCCTTGCGCCACCAGGGAGGTCCCCTGCAAAAGTAGTTTTTAGATAGGAGGAAAAGAATAGAGATGTGATGGGGTGGATATTCCGCAACCATCGCAGATTGGATGGGTTCATCATAGGTTCTGGCATCTTAAAAGAAAATCTTGGAGCCCTTAGCATTTTCCCCATAGGTTAGGGGGAACAAGCCAGCAGAGAGACAACAGTTGTACCAGCATGTTGTAACCGCTGCAGAAAATAACCATCTTCCAAAGAATACTGTTTACATGCAGTATTGTCCTTGTGATTAATACTAAATTAAATTACTATTTAATTTACTAGCCTTATGTGCTTTATAACTTGTCATTATAAGGTAAAATACTTTTTCTTGATAGAAGTTTTATCTTCCTTGTGGTTCTCTGAATTGTTACTATATTAAGAAAGGCTAAGGCTTTCTAATTGATATAAATAGGAACGTTTTCAGCCTTTATTCAAGGGTGATTTATGAATATGTACCAATTTTGTATTTTTTTCATTTGCTTTACCACTTTACCTACAATGGTGAAGTGATAAATGCACTGGGGAAGTGGTTATAAACAGTCTGTTTATTGGTGTGTTATTAACAATTACTTTATCAGAATCACCTTTCTGTGTCAGACCTACTGAACCTAAATCTCTAGGATTTTAGAGCCTAGGCATCTCCCACTTAACATTCTACCTGCCATATAGACAGTTCTGATAGATTTCCCCAAAGCTTTTGAGTATTCACCCTCATAATAGAGAACCTATGTGTTTAATAATAGTAAATGTTATTTTCTTATTTTTTTAGAAAAACATAAATAGGAATAATAACTTTAATATTTTCTTTCTGAATACCTTAAGACTTATCTTTGGAACGTGTGTTATTAAGCAACACTGCTTTTGACCATATTTTTGTCTATGCAGATTTTTGCCTATGCTCATCTCTTATTAGTTCTTCTATGTCATTTAGCAAACTCTTGCTTAGTCTCAACCTTTTTTAAATTGAAATTGAATCAATCATCTTCATGAAGTCTACATTGACTGTTTATATCTGAATGTCCCCTTACTACCCTTAAGTCTTAAGTTTCATTCTAAACTTTTTTTTATCTTCTAGAATGGAGAGAGACCATCTCATGAAGTACAGATAATAAAGAATATGCCCCAGATGGCAAACTTTGTATATAATATGTACATGCATTTGATACAGACCACACATCATTATCATCAGGTAAGTTCTCGTAATTGACTTATTTTCTTGCTAGAAAGACTTCCCCCATTGCAGAATAAATCTTCGAAATATTTGTTAATTCCTTGTAGGAAACCAACAAAACCCAAAGGTTGTTATTATCATGTAGCATCCATTTTTTAAGATACCTTTAGGTATAATTTGGCATGCAGTAAGTGCCACATGTTTCAATTTGCTACGTTGTGGCTGTGAGCCAATCACCACAGTCAAGATAATGAACATATCTACTGTCTCAAGTTTTTGCATGTCCCTAACAGTCCTTCCCATCCTTAACAAACCCCTTTGACACCTCCAGTCAACAAGGATCTGCTTTTTGTAACTATAGATGAGTTTCATTTTTTAGCTATTTATATAAATAAGAATCATACAGCATGTACTTGTTTTTTTTTCTTCATTACAATTATTCAGCATAGTTATTTTGAGAGTCATTATTGTTTTTACATGTATCAGTAGGCCTTTCCTTTTTATTGCTAAATAGAAATTCATTGTATGGATATACCCATTTATCTTTTGCTGAACCTTTGGGCTATATCCAATTTGGAATAGTTATTACTAGTAAAGCTGCTGTAAATGTTTTTGTACAAATCTTTGTATTTCCTCTGGGGTAAATTCCCAAGAGCAGAATGCCTACAATAAGAAGTAAGGTATGAGTTCAAGATTTAAACAAACTACCAGCTCATGTTACAAGGGGGTGAGCTATGCCATGTTGTATTCCCACTGGCTGATGTGAGAACTCAGGTTCTGTTACACCCTCCCATTTTTGTTATGTTGGGGCTTTTTTATTCTAACCATTCAATAGGTATACATTGGGTTCCATAGCTTTAATTTGCATTTCCCTAATGACTAATGATGTGCGGTGCATCTTTTCATGTCACTTGCCCTCTGTATATCTTCTTTTTATTTTTATTAATTTTTTAAAAATATTTATTTGTGCATACAAAACTGGGGTTTAGGCCAGAGGTGCAGGGGCAGTGAGAGGATTCACCAGATACAAAGTGGGGAGCAGAACAGGGAGATTGAAGAAGTACACTTCTGAGGGGAGCAGCAGGGAGGTCAGGAGAGGTCTGCCACGCCATGTGGGTTACGTCTGGGATAGGCAGGGATCGAAGTCATGCAGAAGTGGCTTTAACATCTTAGTATTGTGCTTTAACCCACTGTGCCACCAGGAAGGGCCCTGTATACCTTCTTTGACGATATTTTTATTAATCTCTCCTATTCATTTTTGGGGACAGGTTTTTTTTATTATTGACTTTTAAGAGTTTTCAGATTTATTTTAACTATTTAACTATATATTAGATATTGTTATCGGAATGTTTTCTTCTAATCTGTGACCTTTTTTTCATTTTTCAGTCTTTGAAAGAACAGAAATTTTATAGTTTGACAAAATCTAGTATATCAAAGAATCTATCATGATTCATGCTTTTTATGAACTAATGATCTTAGCCTGGCCCAGATATTTTTCCATTGTTTTTTCCTAGAAGCTTTGTAGTTACAGTTGACATTTAGAGGCATGATACATTTTGAGTTAATTTTCAGTATGGTACAAAGGAAGATTGGGCTTTACTTTTTTCATGTGATTTACTTTTTTGATCTCCATTTGTTACATTACCATTCCTGAATAAACTGTTTTTCCTCTATTGACTTACTTTGTGATTTGAGGTAGATTATGAGGAAGAGATAAATCATCTGTTAATTGAGAGATAATTGACATATAACAGTTTCAGGTATACATGGAATGATTTGGTATTTGAATATATTTTGAAATGGTTCCATAATAAATTCATGTTATTATCATGTAATAAATTTTTGTGTTTTATTGTATTGCATTTTGTTGTTATTTCTTAATGATGAAAACTTTTAAGATCTTGCTTTCTTAGTTAAAAATCACTGACTAACTATGAGAGTCTTTCTGGGCTTTCTGTTCTGTTCTGTTGAACTGTGTATGTCCTTTTGCCATTACTATATAGCCTTTATTAGAGTAGATTTATAGTAAATCTTGAAATATGAGTCCTGTTTTATTTTTGTTTTCATTTTTTTCAAAATTGTTTAAGCTATTCTAGTTCCTTTAGTTTTCTATATACATTTTAGAATCAACTTGTCAATTTCTGCCTCTCAAAAAAACATGCTGAAGTTTTAATTCGGATGTTTTGGGACTAATAAACTTAGGATCAGTTTGGAGGAAATTAACATCTTAATAATATTAAGTCTTCCTTTCCATGGATGTAGTATCTCTCTCCATTTTGTTGGGCCTTTGAATTTTCTCATTACTCAGCACACAGGCCTTACACATGTTATTAGTTTCATTTCTAACTATTTCATTTTGTTTTCTGCTATTACAAATGGCACTTTAAAATTATTTCTGATTTCCACCAAGAAAAGCAATCTCTGAGCAGAGGAACTAAGCCTTAGCTCCACTCTTACTGGGTAAAGAGGAAGCCAAGTATCTAGAGCTGCTCCAGCATTTTGGTTGAGGGAGACAGAAGCCTTGTGCCCTGCACTTCCCACCCCCTGGGCCTGTGCCAAGGCTCGCTTTCTAAACCTCAACCCTAAGAGTACTTCCTGATTGAAGTTGGCCCTTCCTTTCATTGGTGTGTCAGTTAGTCCTGATGAACCACTGTTTTTCCAGAAGGGTTAACAGTGAATTTCTTTATGAAAAAAAATCTACTAATTTTTCATATAGTTTGCCACTCTAAAGACTTAATATGTACTTTTTTTTTTAAGATTTATTTCATTTATTTATGAATTTAAGAACTGGGGTAGAGGGCAGAGGTACAGGGGTGTGAGAGGATTCACCGGAGACAGAGTGGGGAGCAAACACATGGATTATCTGAAATACACTGCTGAAGGCAGCAGGGGTTAAGACAGGAGAAGTCTGCTGTTCCTTGTGGGTCAGCTTCCTGGTCGGGGATCAAACTAGTGCTGCAGTGGTTAGTGATAGCTTCATAGTACCAAGACTTAACCCCTTGCTCCTCCAGGGAGGCCCTGTACTTTATTATTATGTAATACCAGTTGTAAGCATATTCTGTGGAGTTAGCATAGCCTAGGCTTTTGTCATCAGAGTTGTTATAAATCTGTTATAGAAAAATGACTTAACAGTGTTTTGGAGAACTCAAGAGTAAGCAGTTTCTGTTATGAAGATGATGTTAATGTGACAGCTTCATAAGCTATTGTTTATTCATTTGAGTTAATGATGTTTTCTTTTTTTCACTAGACTCTATTACAGCTTCCTCCTGCTATGGTAGAAGAAAGTGAAGAGGTTCAAAGTCAGGAAATAGAAATGGAAGCAGAGGAAGAGGTCATGCCTGTTCAAGCTGACCTCAAACCCAGTCTAGCAGATGCCAGCTCCAGTCAGGAAACCTCAGCCTCTGAGACTGAGTCCACCCCCAGTCAGGCTGGAGCCAGTTCCACTCCAGAAGCTGCCTCTACTCTATCCAATGTAACTACTTCTGAGACAGGACTTGTTGCTGCAACAGAAGAGGCTAAAACTCCTCAAGATACCACATCTGCCCCAGCAGAACCCAAGTAATGAAGCCATAGCCCTTCTTCAGGAGAACATGTCATTTATAAAGTCCAAGTAAAGTGATTTTTATATTTTACATACTACTGCCCCTTTAATGGCACCAGTTAATATTCAGTCCTGATTTTGTTAACCAATTTCAATGTTTGTCATCTTGGGTATAGCATATTAAAAAAAAATTGTATTTGTATGAAAAACTTCAGTTGTATTTGTTCAACCAGAAGGGTAAATAACCATTCCTTTGACATCCTGATCATTAACTAAAAGAATTTTCTGTGGAATAATACTTCATTTTTTAAATGACCTTCTCTAGAGAAAAGGACTTAACACTGGAATTAGCTATAAGTGACCATAAGCAAGAGTCCAAATTGGGAAAGAAATCATGTCATAACATCAGATGCTCCAGCTGAGTTTCTTTTCTCCCCATCTTTCCTTACTGTCTTACATGATTAAAAGGCATCAGTGCCATAGAATGGCACTCCGATCCATTAAAAACCTTTCATGTATTTCCTTTCCCCAAATATCAGAATATGTTAGAACCACCTAGAGTGTTTATTCTTGTTGTCTACCTCAGACCTACTGGATCAGAATCTCAGGGTTAGGGCCCAGGAACTTTATTTCTGCAGGTGTTCCGAATCACTGTTGCGTGACTTGCTGGCACAGTAGGCTCAGACCAGGCTGGTAAAGCTGAGCCAGGATTTGTCATCAGCTAAGCAAGAGGAATCTGGTAAATCCATCTGGACAGAAATAAAGATCCAGAGTACTGGCAGTAAGAACACAGGGAACTTTTGTTTACAATATAGGTTTCTCTCAATGCAGAGATTTTGAGTTTATTGCCCTGTTTAGGTCTCTTGATAGATAACCTTAGCCACAAAGAGACCTTAAGGTAAAATGTGCTCCACATTTGGGACGGCAGAGATAATACTAAGTGTGGTTTGCAAGCTAACATCAACATTGAAGTACAGAAGTTTGGGCTTTATTCCAGATCTATTAAACCTAAATCCGTATTTCAGCAAAGTCCCTGGGTGATTCATCTGCACTTAGGTTAAACAGCACTGTACTGAGATTATACTGTGCTGTCCTCACATAAATAAAAGTTAGAATGATGATTCTGTGATGGTAGAATTAACAGTGATGATTTCACTAATGCTTCATCAAAAGACATCTGGGTGGGGAGGGAGAAATTATCCCTGTCTCTCCTCCCCATTTTGATATATGCTGGAGTGACCCCCTAAGATCTCCTCTAGTGTATTTACCTACCAACTTGGTCACATGCAAAAACCCTTTGAAGAATTAAGCAACAATTCTACTCTGCTGTTAAATGCTTCTTGTCCTGACATCTTGAAGGAGTCATAACTTCATAACGAAAGTAAGTCCTGAAAGTCATGTCAGTGTATTTTTGAGTTACTAGTGTTTGTTCAACCCCCCACCAGACTATGGTGGGTGTGATTGAGATTCAACTTACAGTGAGGCTCACTGCATCGGAGCACTGGTAAAATGTTAGGTGAGGAAAAGGAAAGTGATTACATGCAGCAAATGCCAAGGAAACTGTTCTAGGAAACCTGTTTGTTATCAGTGTAAGAACTGACCCAAATCATTTGTTATATAATTTCTCTCCGATTATATGAATTTGAAGGCAATGATGGAAATCTTTGTAAGGAATAGCACTCAGAATGTTTTTTTTT